TGGAATACAGCTACGGACGCCCTCTCCCTATCTTGTTCTATCCCGGATGTTTGCCCTATCACGAAAAGGACAATATCGAGCGCGATAGCTACCGTTTACGACCCCTTGGGTTGGTATATCCCGCTGATTCATCGCGCAAGAGTCTTCCTACAGAATTTGTGGAAGGAGCAGTACGACTGGAATAATCCGATGAGTGCCACAAAAGCGGACGAGTGGCGTCAAATCAGGACCCAAGCTGACGGCTTCCATAAAACCCTTCCGAGATTTCTGACGCTGAAAAATAGTGCAGTAATTTTAGCATCCTTTTCGGACGCAAGCTCCAGTGGAATGACAGCCTGCACCTATCTTTGTCAAAGCACCGTAGCCAATCTTCTTATGGCCAGATCTAAGCTACCAGCGATTCACGGGAAAACTACCATACCGAAACTCGAGCTTAATGCGATTACGTTAGCCACGCGACTCTCCAACTTTATAATAACACATTTGGAATCCGTCTTATGTATTCAAGGGATATACCTACTCTGTGACTCCGAAATCGTACTGGGATGGTTGAAGAGTCAGCCAAACCGTGAAGTTGGCGTATTCGTGTACAACAGATTGACGGAAATCAGACGAATTGCTACTAGCCTGATAGGAAATGGCCACTTCGTGAAATTCGGATACGTTGTATCCGAAGAAAACCCTGCCGACTGTGGAACCAGGGGGCTCACAAAGGAAGAACTCTCGGATCATTTTTGGTGGACGGGTCCACGCTGGATCCAAGGTATCGACTCCGCCAGTTGGTCACTTCGATCTAAGGTGTTCGATTTTCCAGAAGATATAGACGGTGATGAACCCATCAAGGATGAAACAAGAAGAATATTTGCTACCACAAAATCAGGAAAAGTTCTATACGACCCGGAACTTATCCAGGATGGGCACGTAAACACCTTCACTAAGGCAAAGCGTATTGTGGCGTATGCGCTTCGTTTTTTGAGAGCATTAGTCACAAGATGTGGAACACGGAACAAGAACAAGATCGTACTATCAGAAATACCAGACGTGCCCCCAAGACCATACTCTACGTTTCTTTGTGCCACTGAAATGGACATCGCTGCCAAAACTATTATTAAGGCACACCAAAGGCTGCGAATCACCAAGGTGATTATTGATTCCCTCAAGAACCTCAACATTCACCGAGACGAAGAATGGCATTCTGCGCTGTTATGGGAGACTGGGACGTGCGCAATTAGACTTTAATGCGAAATATCCCATCTTTGTACTGCAGAAAACTCTTTTGGCCAAGATAATTATTCAAGAATGTCACGAACGAGGCCATCCAGGGATCAACCACACAATAAGCATGGTCAGACAAGAATTTTGGATCCCACAGCTCCGCGCACAAGGTCCAGCAGACCGTTCGCAAATGCGTTCGGTGCCAAAAATTTAATAATCTCCCATATAAGTATCCGGCTCAAGACGATCTACCTAAAGAACGGGTTGTGAGGTCACGACCGTTCCAGCATGTTGGCTTGGATTACTTTGGCCCTTTAACGGTGATACGGGAAGAAGGGAAAGAAGGAAAATGCTATGGGTCCATAATTACCTGCATGGTAACGCGCCTACTGCATCCTTGATGTTGTTTCCGACCTTTCAACAGTAGCATTTTTACATATGCTACGAAGATTTTTCGCTCGGAGGGGTATTCCCCAAACATAACTAGCGATAATGCCCCCACCTTCTTACTCGGTGAGACCATTCTTCAAGATGGCTTTCGAGGCGATGCAAGAAGACCCAGCCCTGGCGGGAGTACTATGCAGCCGAGGAATAGAATGGAAGCATATCACGCCATACGCTCCCTGGCAGGGTGGGTTTTATGAAAGGTTGATTAAGTCCGTCAAGCAATCGCTTTACAAGACTCTTGGACACTCCGTAGTCTCCTTTGAAGAACTGTCAACACTCGTGGTCGAAATAGAGTCATGCTTAATACACGACCATTGACGTATACCAGTACCGATTTGGACAATACTACAACGCTTCGACCCATCGACTTCCTACAGAGGGACCTCAACGTTTTCCTCCCTCCCCTCAAGAAGAAAGATCAAGACCTCGACTTCATCCCACCGGAGGAAATGCCTGCGATTCAAACCAAACAACAAGCGATCGCAGCACTTGGAATCCTCTTGCCAAATTGACGGAAAAGTTCTGGCAGATATGGCAAGATCAATACCTTACGGATCTTCGAGAAAAACACATACTTAACGTTGGGCATCAAAGAGGATCTAAATGTCAACCTCATGAAGGAGATCTCGTGCTTATCAGTGACGCTGTATTACCACGACATTTGTGGAGAACGGGAATGATCCAAGAACTTGTTACTAACGCAAAAGGGGTAATAAGGGAAGCGGTTGTCCGCTTACCTTCAAGACGGCTGATACGACGTCCAATAAATCTTCTCGTTCCACTTGAATTAGATGATTCTCCCAATAAAGAAACCAAGATGAAATCAGAAGATCAAGATGAGGACCCCATTTCAACAGATAATTTCAGGGACAAAACTTCACCCGCTGAACAAGATCAAGAACCGGTGCGAACTCACAATCGTCGGTACAACCTTCGGCAACTACCGCGGGTTAACTACGAGGAATTCGGGACCACTCAGTTCCCAAGTCTTTATATGAGCGCGTTGTCTCTGTCGGTATTGATGCAGGTACTTTTGACAATACTTCTCATCCTAACACCCGAGGTGTTAAGTTCACCATCCAAGAACGCTCCTACACCAATAAGAACAATCCAGTGCTCTCAAGGTGGTGTACAACTGCACTCTCCAGAGAAAGTGCCCTATGAAGTTTGCGGGGAACAGTACTGTGTTCGATTCGACAAGCCCAATGAAAGAGAAAATGTGAGTTTCCCCCAGAAGTGATAGTGCACGAACACCGAGTCCAATGGAAAATTATCCAAGGAGAATCCGTGAGTGCCATAGAGACTGTTTGTCCAGCAGTACCCTTTTGCCAATACGTAGATTGCACGTTTTGCAGCGCTAACATCTTGAATCCTGAGTGTTGGCCATTAAGAGCATTACTCGCCACAATGGCGATACTTTACTTTGTGATTACGGGCTGCTACGTGTTTCTGTACGTTCCATTAGTGATAGGGCACCCAATACGAATAGTCGCGAATATAGGATGGAAACTACTGAGATTTGTTATTCGCACTATCAAGAGTGTTTTCGAGGGTCGCAATAAGCGTACAGCTGGCCGACGTCGCAACCTTGCCGAGATCATCGCCATCCTGTGCTTGCTATCCCAGGTTTCGAATGGATGCCAAATGGTTGATGTCTTCGGCCACTATTCAACAGTTTGCCCTAGGCGTAAGACAGGACCGTGCCAGATACGGCTATCCGAGATCTTCAAGGTTAACGCATTTAAACGAGAAGCCTGCTTGCGTCTCTCCCACAACAATACACCGATACACGAAATTCGGCTAAACTGGAACTCGGTGGACTTACGGTGCGAGGCTGAAACCGAATTTTTCACGAGGGATACGGTGCATAAAATTGTGGATAGCAAACGATGCGCCGGTCGGGGATCGTGTAGGGACGACAAGTGTGGCTCAGTAAATGCCTCAAGCATTATTCCGGAGCTGGAGCGGGGCAACAAATTCCCAGGTAACACCGCATGTGTAGAATCATGCGGAGGACTGGGATGCGGGTGCCTTTCATTGAGCTCGGGTTGTCTCTTTTATCGGATATACCTTAAGCCAATTAGTGATGTTATCTATGAGGTCTTCCACTGTAACAGATGGACCGAGAGCGCTAAAGTAGTCATCAAACACGTCGATAGAACTAGGGACAAGACATCAACTATAATTACTGGAATGGCCCCAAATATACCCAAGAAGTGGGACTCGTTCAGCGTAACACTTTCTTCCCTAGCTCTCCCACCACTTCCTCTACTTAGCACTAGATTTATCGCGGATTCAAGACACATTGCCATCTTAGGACAAGACGCAAGACCAGCGTTGCAATGCTCGAACTTCCCGAATGCGCGCGACCTTCGATGCCCAGTTCATGAGGACTGCTCATGTCAACCTGCAGAAATAAAAGCGAATTGCAGGTGCAGGGACTTCCCAATTGGAATATGGTTCAGTACTCCTTCAGAATCGCCTACCTATTGTTTATCCATCCTTAACATTCCAACAGCAAGACGTCGCAGTCATAGCGAGGGTAACCAATATGGTCATGTCAGAATTCGTGGTGAACTTTGAAGACGTTTTCGAACCCTCCATCCTGGTAGATGATGCCATCTGCAAGATTGAGGAAACTGAATTAAAGGGGTGCTATAATTGTGCGAAAGGAGCCTTCGCCGAAGTAATGTGCATCTCCTCTCGAGACAATATCCATGCCGAAATAACATGTGATCAAACTGGATTCTCCATTCCCTGTAACACGAGCGGAATTGAATCCATACTCCGATTCAGTTTCTCTAAGGCCCAAGTTTCTTTTACTTGTTCGGTGGCTTGTGGCAAGGTCTCTAGTACAGTCAAGATCGAAGGGATCCTAAAGTTTACTGGCTCCGTAACAGGGATTCTGGAACAGTGGCTCACGGGAACACCAACAGAAAACGCCGATATTTCTTGGCCAGACTTTTACCACATCATTACAGTGTTTCTTCAGTGGTATAAGACACTTTTGGCAGCAGCGCTGGGCCTACTGTTGAATCTTGGGGCTTACCTACTTTATCCTATCAACGTATGGGTTACGTATTGCGCTATGGCTCTGCCTATTGGGACCAAGAATTATTGCTGCAGTAGTGAAAATGTTATGCGGGTGTATCCGCGGAAAAAAGTCCCACAAAGCCCATACTAAGCAGCACTGAGAGACATATGAGACCACTTTCGTCAATATGTATCAGGACATCACTACATTTCCTAGTAGATTATAGAATATATTCTAGACATTTTCATTATGAGGACAAGATTTGGTTTCAAGATATATCTTTCAGGCAGATTCACCATGGCGAATGAAAGCTTCTTTTCAAAGGACTTCACCTTTTTGGCCAACATTCATCAAGAGTCAGAATCGGACAGGAACTTTGGAGACTGACATGGGCATAACCCTTGACGAAATTCATGACGAAATGAAAGCGGCAGAAGAACTTGATGCATCGTGGACACATTACTTGCTCAGCACCACCTGTGCAAACATAAGCGGGGACGAACTGCTCCGCCGTACAACACGGTTTTTGGAGACCGCTACTACATCCAGGGAAAAGTTGTTACGTCTCACTCAGCGATACCTCTTGTTTGACTCCACCTTCCTAGCACTTGTGAAAGGCGACCAACTTCCAGCTAGTAGGCGAGAACAATGGGAGAAACAGAAGCATCGTGGTAATTTTAAAGCTCAGGACGTAATACCTTTAGGTCGACAAGCAGATTGCCAAACTGGAACGTGTCATCGACGAAATAAACTATGAAGTACTTCAAGCCGAAAAATTGCAGAAGAAAGAGAAAAATGCACATCAAGGGAAAAAGATTCACACTCGATCCTTCAGCGTTCAAGTACGGCAACAATCCTTCACTGCAACTACTCAGACCGATGGCATCGAAGTTCACTCCCTTGGAGTTCAAGCTCTTCTACAGAAAACCAGCGATGAGGTGACCCAAGGACAAGAAGAGCACTGGCAGAGCCCCGGCCACAAGCGACGCTGCAGTGAAAGCTCCGAAGAGAAAGCTGCAAAAGTCAAGGTCATTTCTGACGAGGAATATTTGATACAGTTGATTCATGAAAGTGCAGATAGGGAAGACGAAGAGGATGACGATGACGACCAGATGAGTAGAGAGAAGGAAATACCAAAGACTTACCAGAGAACACATGTTGACCTACTGAAGCAAGACCTCAGAGAGCTTGAAGAAAGCCTGCAGAAACTTCCCAAACGAAGATTTGGAAGAATCGTCGGCAACGACCAAACCTTGCGCGTTCTGCGGAGCCCGAAAATATTCATTTCTCGGACTCCTGCCCCAAAGTGGTGAACGGCAACGACAGGTTCAGATTAGCCGACAGAAATGGAACGTGCTTCCTCTGCCTAGGATCGTGTCCGCGTAGCGGATGCCTAGAAGACTACAAAGAATGTTGGTATTGCTTCATCGTGAGAACTCGAGCACCGATTCTGAGATTTCTTATCCCAAAGGACAAGGGACACCACCGTGCTCTGTGCACAATCCCTGATTCGAAGGATCGGATAAGACGAGCGATCAGAGAAGTGCAGCAAGAAATTGAAGAAGCTGAAAGACATTAACAAGAGAGAGCCGGGAGTGTTGCTAAACGCACTAAAAATGGTTAGAAGTTTTAGAAGTTTTCTTTCCTCTTGCTATTAGTCATCCGCCTTGTAGCTTCCTTTTTGCTATCTATTGGCAGATCTTAGCTATGCTTACATTCTAATGCTTGAGAAACCGTTTATCTTCAGGGTTATGCTTACATACTTGTCTGCCTCCGCCGACGTCGATGGTATAAAACCAGAGGATGGACTTAGAAGAGAGGAGTCGGTGATACGAGCCTGTCAAGATTGCAAGACCTCTTCTGGAACAAGAGCCTGGACGACGGTGCCTGCGCAAGACTCAAGAACCTGTCAGTCATAGGTCGATTTTGTAATAAATGCTCTATTAAACCCTTGTTCATTCAGAAGCGTGGCCAGTGACTCGAGTGGTCACTGAGGGCGAGCAAGAGCAAGAGCGAGGTTCAAGAAGTTCTGCCCAGAACCACCATAAACTGGTGCATCGGCCAAAGGACTAGAGCTACCTCCTAGTACTTATCTCTCAAGATATGATCACACCGTCAACAGTACGGTGTTACGTAAAACAGCACAGCCGGACTAGCATGCCCTTTTACGGGGATCAGTCTCCAATATTATACGAGTTTCACAGAAATCTCAAGCCTAAGCGGCCAGCAGCCTAAGTACAGAATGTGAGCGATACGCCATGCACTTTCAGGGAAAAAGGGCTGCGGGGTTTCCCAGCGAGACTATAGTATGAAGCCACGCTGGGTCCAGGTCTGACAAAACGGAAAACTTCTAAAGGGATTTACAGGGGATATAGAGGCGCCCAATGGCACGCCACTGGCGAAAAAGGAGAGAAGTCCGTTACTAGTACGCAAAACGGGACGCCTTTGTTTGCCTCGGAGCTGGTGCTCACTGCTGCGAAACGCGTTTGACTACAACAGAAGCATGAAGGGTAGTTCTTGGCGACCAGTTCGCTCTGGTGAGCACCATGCCAGATATGGGCCATCTTAGTGGTGCGACCTGCTGGCCAAACAGCTCGTGCAAACCAGCCATTGCGGCCAGAAGTAGTGGCCGGAACGCTTTCGGGACGGGCTTCTAAAATCTTGCTCAGCAAAGCGCATATTTCGTTGTGAAAGCGTCAGACATGTTTCTTCGGCAGTCAAGTGAAAGCTTCGTGTAGCGAATATATTTCTCTGACGCGTTACCTCTGTATAATCGCTTCCTTCACTGCATGCAGTTCTCTTTCCTGTCCTAACCATATAAGTATTCTCTTTCCTTTTTGAAAAATTGTTCTAAACGAAACTGCAACGAAAGACTCACCCCCTACTCCAATAGCACACCAACATATTATTTCCACGATATGCTTTGGATTAAACAGTTGAGAATTGAGATCATTGCGTGTTCCTTCGTCCATTATGAATGATTCATTCAACCACACCAAGGGATAGGCTCCTGGCCGGAGAACACTATATGCCCTAAAAAGGAAGTCGAATCAAATAAATCGTTGCAAATGTTTCATGAAGACGGAGAGCTGGTAAAGTAAGTGGCAACAACTCTTAAGCAATCAGCGGATACCTCGAACTTGAAAAGCGCTAGAAATTGGTAACTTTGCGCTTTCCACTGCTTCGCTATCAACAGCGGCTTACGTCACCCTAGGGGGTAAGACGGATGATGTGGAGTGGGTGACAGACAACATCAGTGTTGCTGGTATGTGCATAATGTTTGTTATAACTCCGGATATTTCCATGCCATGGACACACATCTCTCCAGGGTCGCCTAATTGGTACTGGAACCGTCTTAAAAATGGAAACCCTTCCAGTAAATCGCCTCTTTTTCTTTAAGACGAAATCGTATTCAAATATCAGTATGGTTCTGAATAGAAGTAGGATACGTGCGCCAGCCCAGAAAGGAACCTAAAAACGCTGGATGCTCTCAACGTCCAAGGGTATTTCCAACTCAATGTTTGCTTGATTTTAATTTTAGTTTAATTGTCTAGTACTATGGAATTTTCAACAAATAATTCATGAAAAAAGAAGCATTACCTCTGCATAAGAGATTTATTTAGACCCTACAGTTCGGGATTCATGAAGAAGTTGTCTCTTTGAGATTCGTTCTCTACGACTGCCCGATTATCAAGACCTTCTGGCGTCACTAGGGTTGAACGTCAAAAGGATCAATGCTCTATGAAGACAGCCTCTCGTGGAAAGTGGCCTTTCTTAAGAATTTCGAAG